ACGAATTTATTGGAACAAATAATATTAGGATTGAAAGTTTCTCTCAGAAAGAAATAGTGCGGTGCGACTTGACGAAATCACATCTTCTTACTACATCACTACGAATTAATTTATTTAATTACTGATTACTATTAATTGTACATTAGAGTTTTTGATCTTTGTATTTAAGTTTTTGAGTTAGTAATATTTTAGAACACTTAGCTTTCCTTATAGGATCGATTTTAATTTGTTTAGAATTTACAGGAGGTTAAATTAGGCATATAGAGCAGAGAATACTTGTTGAATTTTCCATCTACTATATGTGCTATGTATGTTTTACGTTAATGTTACTATACTGCGGAAGGAATAGTGTCGAACTTTAACTGAATTCATTCTATTCTCACGTGACAATCTTTTAAATAACGAAAGTTAAGATAAATATGTCAAAAAAGTATCACGTATCAAACATATTAACGATTACCGTATCTTATATATCATGTGATCTAATCTATAATTGTTAGGCAGATGAATAATTTTCTTATAAATATCTTATATGTCAATGTTAATTGAATTCTCATGGCACGTGTCGAGTCTTCAAATTCAAATCGAAGAATCGTCTTGTAGCTGCATAAATGATAAAGCTCTTTAACCTGTCAATTCTCATCGTCGTGTCGTTGAATTATGAGCACGACGCGTACGAGTTATATTGATGGAATTAAATGAACGGCTGGCAAGCGTGTCTTGATGTGCTACATCAAGTGTGTGTCACGACGCTGAGTCAGTGGCCGCCGCATTTCCTGCATTGGAGCAAATAAAATAGCCACAACTTCTTAGGTTCCCATCGGTTCTCTGTAACCACTTAACTGTAACACTATCTTCCAGCCGATTTTTTCGCGCAGGACCAATTCATTTTTATCGGTGTTCTATTGCTTCATTTTCTAATAAAATAATTTTATAATTTACATAAATAATAATTTTATAATTTTATAATTTAGATATAAATAATTTAGAAAGTTTAATTTAGAAAAATCTTGCCTTGAAGCAGAAAATACACAGTTGCCCGATTATACGAAACATATTGAGGAATTCTTTGTAAACAATCTTCGAATCTTATGAAACTTAATGGACGTTCGAATTGATTTATTTATCGAAATTGTCACTAATGGCGTTTGACGTGGCAACACGAAATACTACGTATCGTTGAAAACTTTCGTTTTCAATGGTGATCGTGACACACACGAGCAGAGTATCATCTTTAAAACGATCGTAAAGTTTTACGATCATCTACTATATATTTTGAACAATATCTTTTCTCAAAATTATCGCAACGCGTGTACAGTGCCCTCTTTGAAGCATCATAAAATTTTATAGCTACCCATGCGTTGTGCCAACTATTTTCACATGCTTCGCTTATATCCCTGCTTTTCATGCTTCGCGCATTGTGGTTTCTATATTTATACAGTTCGGAACGATTAATGGCTCCGTCAGTTTCGCGCCGAGGACAGACGTGTCAATGTTCCGCGATTGTCCTCGAAGAAAATGGCGAGATCGATATACCACCGTCCGCGCGAAAGAAATTCACTGGTCGAGATTCTATTTGGTCGTATTTATTTTATCAATCCTATTTGTTCCACGTTACGTTCCACGCTATACAGAAAGAGCAAAGAAATATTGTTTGTTCTGATAAACGTTTCATTGTGCCAAGGTGTTCCCAGTTTCTATATTTACGTGCTGTATCCAAAAATCTCGCAGAATCAACACTCTGTTCGACGGCTGCTGGTTGCATTTCATCCCCGGAGATAAACAGCGAGTCAAAATTATTTGCGCACGGGAGAATACCCGAGGTAACGGGCTATCTTTCGATGCTTTTGATTTAAATGCATAGAGTCGAGATTCCGAGGTAACGAAATCGTAAATTAAACACGAAAACTTGCATATTTTGCAACAAATTTCCAAAGAAAATTAGAGAGATATTAATATCCACTAAAATAAAAATATATAAAATAATTGTTTGATATTGAGAACCTTGATAATATTGAGAACGATGATAATTCATTTCTCTCGTAATTGCAAATCGCGATTTTCTGAATAAAATGTAAGCTGCGTGTTTCTTTTTTTATCGCCACAATTTTCTCGTCATCTCGCGTGTGTTACGAATAATTTTTCTCACCCGCGGCAGAGATTCCCCTCTCCCCCTGTTGTTTTGACATTTGGTTTGTTAAAAATAACAGGCAGTGACGTAACGCCGCGGAACAACGGAGTCGCCGAGAAAGCGAAACAAACGTGCAGTACGATGAAGAATCACATCGTGACGAATTATTAGAGTCGCATTATTTTAATTACAGACGCAGACGCTTACGAAGACTCGCGTTTACCTCGAGACGGCTTGTCCTACTGAGTCGACCGGCCACTTGGCAAGGGGTGTGAATTTAATACCTGTTAATTGTCACGCGAATGCAATCCGCGTGCGTAACGTGTATATTACACTCCATCCTATATATAATCGTACACTCCATCAACGTCGTTTCACTAAAAGAAACTAGAAATTCGAAAACCGAAGGAAATTCGTCGAAATTTCACAGTTTGCCTTTTCGAAAATATGTTGATCCACAAAATATTATGAAATAATTTTCACTGCACAGAAAACAATGCAGAAACTAGAAAATTTGTAGAAAATTTTCCACGTGATAGATTTTCGCGAAGTTAAGAAAATTATTATAGCGTTAAATTCGTTGAAACTCACTCTATCTTAGCTAAATAATAAATATGTAATTAATGAAAATCTACCTACGATCGAACTTTGCAACACTCGAAAAGTTTCTTTCCATGAAAAATATAAAATTTCTGCGTGCAGTCGAGTCTCGGTAAAGTCCCTGAAGTTCAATTTCATTTTGAAAAGACTAAAATTTATGCTCAATATAGTCTTCGCCCCCCCCCCCCTCTGTTTATTTATCGAGAGACAATTTCACGGGGCGCGAGGGAATTAAATCGTCAGGGACGACACGGTCGTTCATCCTGGAGATTCGGCGAGAGGAGAGAAGCGAAAGAAGGTTTGGTCGAGGCCAGCGATTTCAACGAGAAACAGAGGCGTCAATCTCTCCTGCCGAGAGATTTATTTATAACGCGCGAATGCGCGTCTCCGCCTTGGTACATTAAACCGTGCCCGTATTGACGTCTCACTTGTCGTCTTTTGCACGCAAAACCATCTCAATGACGAATCGCGTGCTGCAGTTCTGGCTTTCATCGACACCCACTACGGTGCCCAGCGCGCGGCACACGAGTTATTATGTAATTCGGCGAGGGAGAAGAAGAAGAAGAAGAACGAGAATAAGAAGAAGAGGAACGAAGAACGTGGAAGAAGGGTAGAAAAGGCGTCTAGCAGCCAAGAAAATTCTACAAATATTCGTGCGATGGCCTGATAAATTCCGTCAATTTACAAAAATACACTATTGGTCGAATGCTTGGGATTTTCACGTAACAATTTAGCCGGAGATGACAATTTGGACTTTCGTAAATAGAGTTTTTCTATTTATTTGATCTTGATTGATTTAATTAACTCGGATAGGGAAATAAGTTTTTAAATTTTATTCACTGAATTTCGCGATATTATCGTTTATATCTGTAGTTTGCAATTGAAAAGGAAAATTAATCGAAGATGATTAAATTCGTCGAATATTAAAATCTTACTATCGACGTCTAGTAGTAGCTGTGACTTTTCATTACCCCGAAGAAAGCCCAAAGGAAAACAATTCCAAATTATATTTATTAAATTTTGAACCGTTAGAACAATTATCTGCGCCACTAGATTTCACTGTCACGTAAATGTTCCGTACACGTAACTCGATTTCTGAAAGAGTGATATCGACAGCCCGTCGCGGGCCGTTTCTTAATTTAGTATAATCTTCCCTCGAAGAATTCGGATCCTAACCCAGATTTCTTTTAGAAGAGCGGAAAAGTTGGAAGGCGATGGAAGAGGATAGAGAGCCAGCTTCGCGCTCGAGTCGCTGAACCGAAAGGAATGCAAGAGTCAAAATGGAGAGCGAGACAGACAGAGAGAGAGAGAGAGAGAGAGAGAGAGAGAGAAAGAGAGAGATAAAGAGGGTGAAGCACGAGGTACCCCGAAGAATTCGTTGGCTGCATCAGAAGCAAAAGGGCTTGAGCTATAAATGGGTTACGTAAGATCGAGTAGCTGCCACGTGTCGGCGGACGTCGCGTTGCTTCTGCATTTCCTGAATTCACTTTCGCAATCGACAGACCTGATACGTTTCCAAAAACACTGGAACGTCGAGCTGCCAACCAAAAAAAAAGAAGCTTCGCGAGTATTTTTCTTCCTTATTAACTCATCAATCATGCGTTGATTCATGTACTTTAATCAAATCGTGTAACAGGGATCTCGTTCTATCTTAAATTATTCTTCGAGCCTCTCTTCAACTACACAACATTCGACACGATCCTAAAATACCGTATTTCAAAACCTCGACCGTCTACCTCGAAATAGAAGACATATACTAAATATTAATCTAAAATATCAAATCACCAAAATTAGAGTGTAAACTTTCCCAGAGATTTCTCTCAAATGCAAAACCTAAAATATAAACCGAACTGACTCTAAAAAGTCCAAGAACGAAGGAAAGAAATTTGAAACAAATTAGAAACTCTAACCATTGCCACCGTCTAGCTCCATCCCCTTCCCGGAATAAAATATTTCGTAATTTACCTCCAAGACTCACCAAATATTCTCACCCATTAGAAAAAAAAACAACAAAATTCAAACGAAAGATGCCTCGTTAAGAAAAAAAGAGCAGCAATCCAAAGAACACGAATCCAGAGATCGATGAAACAGTATGAAACCGTCTAATTTTCGGTGCGAAGAATCCAAGCCATTCTCCATCAGCCATCAGAAAGATTTCAAAGATTCAAAACCAGAAATCAAAATGAAAAAAAAAAAAAAAGGAACTCTCCGCTAGACGAGAGTAGCTTGTTTTTTTTTTAGAACGATCACGATACGAGGGAACACTTACACCAGTACACGGCAACAAAATCCTTCTCGTTGAGGAGTCGCTCGAGCTGTTTCGCATTAACTTCCTCGATGACAGGCTCGGCCTCCTTTTGGCCACTCTTGGACCGGGGCTCGTCCGGTTTCGTCCTGGCGACGGCGTCCACGGTGCCCAGCAGGGTGCATAACACCGCGACGACACCGAGAAGGACGATGGTCGTCGCGTATCCGGTCGGCATCGTCGTTGACCCGCAGGTAGTACTCCTCCTTCGTCTCCGCCAGCACCACCACCACCGGCCGAACCGTACCGTCGAAACGTCGTTCGCCGTCGACATCGCCGCACTGACTGGCACACCGGCTATTTTTGATTTTTCGGACAGCGCCGCTGAGCAAACCGACGACGACGGCCACGCCACGTTCGTTGTCGCCGTTTTCAGCTTCCTCGCGCCACCCCCTGGCGCGACCCACCCGGAGGACCTCGAATCTTTGCTCACGGAGACCAGCGAGAGAGATTCTCTTGTTCGCCTGTTTTGTTGACTATGGTCTACTATGGTTCTTGTTTCGAACTGGTTGTCTTTCTTTTTGTTCTTGAGGTCATATAGTTCGTTAAGAATTTTCTTCCCTTTCTTCTCCTTGCGTACGATCTTTTCCATCGTATTGACAATCATAATGTCATTCGGATATTGAGGGATTTTCTCTCTTCTTGCTGGTGAGCAAGGTGATTCCTGAAGCTTTTTCGCTTTCCCCTTTCTTCTTACAAGATGACTTCTTTGATAGTCTTCCCTTTCTCTTGCATTGGAATGTGATCCTTTTCTTTCTCTTGCAGTGGAATGTGATCCTTTTCCTTCTCTTGCTCTGGAATAATTTCTTTCCCCCTGCATCGGACTAATTTTCTAAGATTTTCCTTTCTTTACGCCGGAGATAAGTTTTTCGAAGTTTCCCGTTTCGTTTTACTATGGGATAATTTCGCAAGTTCTGCGAAGACACGTTGCAAATAAAAGTTGGCAAAGAAAAATCCGGGTCCTTTCATATTCTACACTTCTTCCAAAACCTTCCGAATCGTCGAAAAAGAATTACGATTGTATTTTCCTTTTTCGAGGATTAGCGTTACGTGACTCCAGTGACCAGTACTACATTAGTACCTACACGTGTATGTTAAGACGAGGATTATGCTAGGACAGGTAGTTGATCAGCGGCTTCGGTGCAGAACGGTATACCATGGCGGTCGTCGATCGAAAGTCGCGGATTGCCATCGTGGGGGGTGGTTTGGTACGTGTTTTCAATTTCCAAATCGTTTCCTCCAAAGGAAAACGATAGTTGCAGCTTGAATATAACAGAAAAAACTGTCTTCTTAACTGAACATTTTCAAGAGAGATTGTGAAGAAGATTGATACAACATGGTGTTCGATCTTGCAGGTCGGTTCTTTGGCAGCTTGCTTCTTCGCCAAGAGAGGCCATTCTGTATCCATCTACGAATATCGTGCAGGTGATTTTTTTCAAGAATTGTCTTAATTGTTCCTTGAAATTTTATATCAGTTGAACTCCTTTTTTTTTTTTTTTTTTTTTTACTTTCAATTCGTATCTCCCCTTTTTTTTTCTAACGTTCAATTGCTTTAACCATTGAACGCACAATTTTTTTCTATTTTAACAACGTGGAGTGTTGCATTCAACGCTTGACAGAAACCACCCAGGCATTGAAATCTCTTCCGTTCTTTCATATTCACTTTTGCAATAAGGAAGCATACGGTATCTTTCGATCATTTTTTTTCTTTTTTTTCAAAAATGCAAAGATGAAAGTAGTGCTGTCACGATTTAGATATCAGAGTGGAGGATTACCGGGGCCAGAGCATCGATTTGGCACTGTCGATCAGAGGGCGGGAGGCTTTAAGGGCTGTTGGCCTTGAAGAGTCTGTGGTCGATCATCATGGTATTGCCATGCGTGGTAGAATGTTACACAACAAGGACGGCACCCTCAGAGAAATGCTTTACGACAGTGTGAAAGGGAATGTGAGTGACCTTCTAAAACTCGATTTCTCTACTCGAATTTATTTGTCATGAAGTTTCTGTGTCTTTAAACAGTTGCCCTCTCTCCTTTCCAGTGTATTTACTCGGTCAGCAGGCGATATTTGAACATAGTTCTATTAAATGGTAAGTGAAAATCTGTTATCACAATTTTCTTCCACTTTCTCCGCGTAAATATTTCGAAACAAAACATTTCAATACACGCATCATGCGAAATCCGTATGCTTCTTGTAATTAATTCCATGGCAGATAAATTATTATTTAGAGACGAATTGTTTGTAGAAAATAGCCAAAAGGTTTAGACAGAAGTTATCTATATCGAATTATTCTGACAAAGAAATAAATTGCGAGTAACTGCAGCAGACTATCTCGATAGAACACGAGATGCTTTCACGGTGAAAGAAAAATGGCTACTGAATATCCGATAACGCGGCAGTGCGTGAAGCCACAAGAATTCGAGCGTATCGAGTTTCTTGCTACCATCAGCTCTTGTGTGCTTGCTTATGATCTGCGTGAAACGCCCCAACGCCGTCTTAATCCGACATATACCTACTTACGCGTGATAACAAAGTTATCAACAAAGTTTCGAAACAATTTTAGCACAGTATCCTTTTGCTCTTCATTCTGCCTTCAAATTGTCTAATTTTGTCGACTGTTGCCAAAAATCTTGTGGCTCTGGCTAGTTTCATTTCTCCACAAGGTTTCTCTAATTCAGTAATATTTTTTGCAGAAGTTCGTAGTATCGAAGGAAGATAGTACGTGGAATATTTTCACAATAATTTAATAAGTGTTGTTTTTCACTTCACTCGACAGAGAAGGTGAAGAAATGTCAGTTAAATCTGTTTGATCTTTTATTTCGAAGATCTTCCGAATGTACATATACAGAATAATACGAAATAGAGTAAAATTCGATATCTGTTAGAATATTAAATTCTATTTATCAAAATTCGGAATTTCATTCCATTATTGTTTTCTGTTACCCTACTTACTGTTCTTTTTTTTTTTTTTTCGCGAAATTTCCTCACGTTGAATAGCCGCCGAGAAGTATCCGGAAGTGAGTCTCTTTTTCAACAAGAAAATCATCGACGCAAATGTGGATAATGGAAAGCTGAAGATACTGGAGTAAGAATGTTTCCCGTAGAACGAAATAAAGGAAGTTGCACATTTTCTCCGTGGCGTGTAAAGCTCGTTGAATTTTGTAGCACGAAGACGAAAACGATCGAAGGGGTGGAGGCTGATTTAATAATTGGCGCTGACGGTGCTTACTCCACTGTCAGAAGGATAATGGCGAAACGACCGCTGTTCAATTGCAGTCAGACGTACATCGAGCATGGTTACGTTGAGTTATTTGTCCCCGTTGGGACAAACAACGAGGTAAGTGCGAGGTTTCGTCTTTCGCAATTTTCGCAAATATCGCTGAAATTTTCTCTCTTTTCACACGTCCTTCTTTTCTTTTTTTCAATTCCAAAAGAAATTCAGAAACTTCTTTTCGATATTCGATTTTAGGTACAATGATCCAGAAATTTTACGAAAACTCTTCATTATATTCTCTTGTCGCGTAATGAATTTGTAATATTTTCAAAATAGACGTTAATTAGGTATACGGTATTATTCGTTTTCCAGACGTTGTTCTTGTTGCTTGTTTATTTTAGCTTATTTGCATTAGTATTTTCAATGCCTCTATTGGATTTCAAGTTCGCGATGAGTGGTGAACACCTTCATATCTGGCCGCGTGGAGAGTTCATGATGATAGCTTTGCCAAACGACGATCACACCTTCACTGGCAACATATTCGCCCCTTTTGGAACGTTGGACCAACTGAAGACACCGCAGGATTTTCTGAGCTTTTATCAGAAGCAATTCCCGGATCTACTCGAGTTAATTGGAAGAGAGAAATTAGTTAAGGATTACTTCGAAAGGGAGCCAAAAACATTGATTTCCATTAAGGTGAGTTTGAGTGGTTTCGTTGTCAATCGAGAAGATAGTTGAGAATTACTTCGGAAGGAAAATTATTAAGGTAAGTTTTGAATATTTGGTTCGTTACATTTAACATCGGAATTTTGAAATCCTTCAAAATGACGGATTTGCTTTTCTTATAATTGCAAAAAAGGATTGATTGATGAGATCAATATTTATTTTTAATTTATATAATATTTGATATATAATTAGAAATATAATTTAACTAATGTCACTTGAATTTTAATAATTTAGAAGGTAGAATATTTAGATACGTGTGTATATATGTAGATAGATTTGACAGTTCTAATTATATATGTGGATATAATTATTCAAACTACATATGTACATGTATCTTTAATATTCATTTCTATAATATATTCAATCTCTTCTGACCTGTGATCTAAAATAAATTTTTTGCAGTGAAGAAATAGCATCAGATGATTATGCAAATTAAATATGCAACTATCTAGAATATCAAGCTTAATATTCTATATTTGTAAATGATTTCGCAAATATCTATACATTTATATTTATATGAAGTTAAATGTGCGAAGCAATGTAAATATGCAGATATGAGAAAAAATGTAAAAGATATATCGTAATTTTGTTTTTATGAAAGAGAAAATCTTTACAAATTAAATTACCATTAATAAAGTAATTTTATAAACTTCTTGAAAATGGTATTAATCAAATTTCGATTTTCCAGATTCAATATATTTCGTCCATTTTAAAGTAATTTTAAAATCATTAGTCAAACAATTATAATTGATTGAACTCATTAAACAATTATTACTCATAATTTCCTGATTGATTGTTCATGTTCACATTTTCTAATCTAAATGTTTCACATAGCAGAATTCACTAAAATTTGATAATCGTACGCGGCATTGTTTTGTTGCATAATCTACCTTTTTATAATTAAAATAATCAATGAAACAAGAATTTGGTTAAATCTGGCAAATTTCAAGCTTTAAAGTCGACATATTATAATATTTATATTGAATTGTGTAAGTATGTTCATTTGTATCTACAATTATTCCTTGCTAATTTCGTAATTTCGTGTGCATCAATTTATAATTTTCTACTAAAAAGTAATGCCTACAAAAATTATTACTATCTATCGAATAATAATGAAGCGAAATTTTATCTTTACATTTCTCGTAAACACGTCGTAGTGCAAACCATATCACGTTGGAAAAACAACCCTTCTTGTCGGGGATGCTGCTCACGCTATGGTGCCTTTTTACGGCATAGGGATGAACGCCGTGAGTGTTATTCAATTTTCACATCTGACTAACATTGTAAAAAGAAAATATATATAAAAAGATATCTTCGGTAGTCTTGTAATTTATTTAAGTAACCATCGTTATTTACAATCTCGTAAGTCGACCTTTTAATAAATTTAATTTGCCAGGGATTCGAGGATATTTTACTGCTAGACGAGTTAATGGAACGCTACAACTCGGATTTCAGCTTGATCCTACCGAAATTCACGGAACTTCGATGCGAAGACGCGCACGCTATTTGCGAGCTTGCTATGTACAATTATATCGAGGTAACACTCTGTTATTAAAATTTCGTCGAAAAAGAGAAATAGCGATCTTTCGTTTCGCCCAGTTTAAGATCTGGTAGTCTGATCGCCCAGATCTAGAACTGGTAGTTTTTAGTTTTCTGATCGATTAAAAAAGTGACTCTAATTTTTTAAACAATATTACAATTATCTTTGAAGTGTCAACCGACAGAGAAAATGAGATCCCTTGATCTCTCTTAAAGTGAATATAATAAATGAGACGAGTTTGAACAGTTTTAAGGGATGAAAAAGGAAACTTTCGAATTCGTTGAAATTGATTCCAACGATATGAGAGATTGGCGTTGTTGTATCGCAAGGATGGAAAATTTCAGATGAGGGATTTGGTGACGAGGAAGTCCTTCCTTTTGCGAAAGTCTTTAGACACGTTCCTCTACCGACGAATTCCAAATACATGGATACCGCTCTACAGCACGATTCACTTTTCGAGGATGAAGTTTCGGGACTGCATCGCGAACAAGGAATGGCAAGATAAGGTAAGAAAGTAGAAAGTCAAGAGGTAACGTAAGAATTATAAAAGTTATGAAAACTATCCACGAGAAAGTGTTGCATCTTTTATAGGTGTTGCGCAGAATTGGTTGGTGCGTGATGTTCTTGATCATTGGGATGTTGATGGCTCCTTTTGTCGAAGTGCTTGCAGAGAAAAACGCGTTTTCTACTGAATACGAGTAGACACATGAACATAGATACACTTGCACAAATAACATACGCGTAGCAGCACGATCATTTCGATCTGTCATAAACGTTTCTTACTCGCAATAAATTTTCAAACTTTCAATGCGAAATTTATGGTTATTATTTCTTCAAATTCATTTATATGCAATGCTTTTTGTTTGTAAGGCGATTACAAGAGCAATCGTTGAGCTAAAATGAACAAGCAAATTTTGCACGTCGTTATCTTGACTTACACGTATATTATGCACGTGTTCAATTTGCATTTACGTCCGCAGTTTAATTAAAAATTGCAAAATTATGCATGGATATTAATTACAAAAACTTAGAACACGTTGCAGAGCAGTAACAGAAGCATAAACTCTGTGAGTTTCTTATAATGTTTAAAATATCACGAGGATCCTTCTGCACATTTGGTTACGTTACCAAATTTATCAAATGCGTTAATTTTTGTATCAGGTATGTTTTATGATTTAGCATGGACTTTTCAAAATAATATTCTATCACTTTGTTATGTTTGTCCGTATGATAATCAAGTCACGTTGGACCTCCCAAGTTAATCGCTGCGTGAGATGACTGATTGCGAATTCCTTCCATTTCCACGAAATTTCAGATTTTCTTTTCGCTCACCTCATCATGCCAAAAACTTTGCAATTTTACTGATCCATCTGGCTACTCTCAGCAGCATGTCCAAAAAATGTTCGAATGTCCTCAGAGGAGGATTTTACAACGAGAAGACCAGATTATTCTATCATCATTAGATCAGACTTTCATTAGATCAGTTTCAGTTCAGACTAAACATTAGTTAGTTTACATCTAAAGTAGACAGAGTATGTACTTGAAGAACATTACAATCATAATCTGCATTTATATGAAAATAGATATAAAGAGAGAAGGAATGAAATTTATGCAAGTAAGATATGAAATGAAAAATATCATTATCATTCCCAAGTAGGAGACAAGTCCGAGATTAAGATCAATGGTTCGTCAAATCAGTGTTTCTGCAGGAACGGTTATTGTTTAACAATTTGATATAATCCTCAGTCTTTATGAGACTGTTCGAGAAACGGTCGAGAAGTGATTTAATTGGCACGATATAAAAAGTCATTACTTCAGTGATTCAATGATGAAAATAAGGACTATATTTCTGCGTTGTATAAAATACGTCTTTTCTGTGCGAGAGAAACATGTAGCTAGTTATAATCTATGCAAACTAATGTGGCTTTTGTTATTGATTTTAATAACTACTAATTTAATAATCTAATGTAATTAGTTGAAGAATTAACTAATTAGGTAGTGGAGGTACCGTAAAATGAAAATTTCCAACAAATACACTATAGGTTTGAAAACAGGAAAATACATAAAATTTATTTTCTCATCTTTCTCATCTCGGCGGTTATTCGCTGAGTGATTACGTGAATCGAGAAATGCGCATTGATTAATGGATAAACGGTTGAATAATGAATATTAATGACATAATTTTTTATATTTCTTTCGTTGTTTACAAGAAATATGCATATGTATGCGTAAATTTGCATGTACGTCAGCATTTTAAAGATAAAAGAATAGGATATGCTACGGCGCAGTTACAGAAGCATAAAATATAATTCAAGATATTCGAAAATATTTCAAGCTGTCTTCTGCAATAATCTGCTAAACGCGTTAAACTTCGTACCGAGTATCTTTTATAATTTAATTTATCTAATTAATCTATTTTATAATTTAAAATCCAGCGTCTTTTTCAAAACAAAACTTTCTTACTGCAAAGGGCAGTTAGTGACGTGGAATTCACGCGCGTCCCGTACCTCTTCATACCAAAAAATTTGCAATTTCATTATCCAAGTGTCCTATCCTGAGTATCATGTTTGAATCTTCTCTAAAGAGAAGTTAACTACTCTACACTCTTCATCAGATTTCTAGTTTTACAGGATGAATTTTTATAGATCAGGATGCAAGTAGATATGTGACATAAAAAATATGAGGGCAATGCAACATTTGCGGTATTGTCAGAGTAAGTACGTGAGAAAGAATCTTCATCTACTTTTATATGAAAATAGACATGAAAAAAGAAGGAACTAAATTTCTGCAAGTCATTTTAATTTGTAGAAAATTTAATTAACAGACTGACTAAAATACATCGTTTAAAAGTGGCACGTTGACTACCAGAACCCTACAAATCACAAAAGTCATTCAAAAAATAAATATTTATAATTGAGCAACTTCCATTTTTTATTCCACTGAATATTATACGAATTCTAAGTGCACCGTATCAGCATTCTCGACGTATTTGTGTTTCTCCTTCTCGAAAAAGTCCACCAAATGATCGATAAATTTCCCATGATATTCGTTAATCTGCTCTTCGGTTGGTTCTTCAATTTTTGGTAAATCCATCGGACTACCGACTGCAAGAAAAGAAAATTACGAAAATTATAAGAGCTTGCGATTTTTCTATGGAGAAGTGGTAAGTTTCGAAATTTTCTTCTAACTAAATTTTGTTACAAATCTCTATCAACAGAATCGTGTAATAAAAGAGGAATTGTTAAAATTTTAATAATCTAACTTCAATTATCACAAGCATAAATTATTTGTTCATATTACTGGAAAACTATACTATTTGTGCGTTAATTAGTTCATTGCTTACCAACGACAGTGATTGGTGTTCGCCGTGGAATGAAACTGAAACAGTATTGGGAGAATCCTCGTCCAATCAGATAAAGCAGGGGCACACCGAATTTTTTACGAATGTAATTTTGGAGCTTCTTCATAAACGAGCCTTCCGGAAATATCAATTGGTCAAATAGATTCGTTTCTCCGAACGAACAGACAGGAACAATGGGAACGCTAAGACAAACGTGTTCTGTCGTTATAAAGGAACATTACAACACTGATAACGTTTTATCATTAAACTGTAAGTAGAATGCGGATTTTCCACGTATTTTCATGTTAAATATAGGTATCGTAATTATGTTGAATGAAAATACTCAACGTAAGGATTTTCCTTATTTATATAAGGTATACATTAGAATATATACTTTGTTTTAAATATTTCGAGCACCCTTGCAATTTTCTTAGATAGAATGAAATTATAAATGCACTATATACATGAAACGCATGAAAATGCACAAGTTCATCAAAATTAATATTTAAGTGAAAAATGGCCACAAAAATTTGTATAGTGATTATAATTTTAATACGATTGTTTTACCAAATTCTCTATACGTTGCACAGTTTATTATTGATATTTAAAACATACAATACCATATTAAATACTCCAATCGAATTCAGTCAATTGTTATTGACACAATTCACACGGTTGTTTTCCTATTGTTTAGCATTGTTTCTTTTAAATTATAACAGTGAACTAAAAATGAACGATTAATTAAAAGGTGATTTCTCTTATTTCGTATTCTCATAGGCCTGCGAGTCCAATCAACATTAATAATAATAATGATTCTAACCCATTTTTCAACGCGAGCCTTACGAAGCCTTTCCTCCTTTTTATTAAGATACGATAAGTGCCTGGCTTGCATTCCATTGCTTCCGCTGCTCCACCGACGATTAGAATTGTTACTCTTCCGGTGTATGGTGCCTCAGGTTTCGTTGACAGTAATTCATTCAGGCTTTCTGGACTGCTACTGGCACAGCCTGCAGACCATAGTTAAACGTGTAATACTTGGGTTAATGAAGAACTCAAGTATTCTAAGAAACAGAATGATTGTAAATTTGGGAAAGCCAAGAATCAGAAAGAGATCTGTTGATTCACAGATTTATTATTTTGCTAACAGCAATTGTGCAACATTTAACGTGATTTTACGTCATAGATTCAATGAAATTATCTAGAGATATGTATTGTTTCCTTAAAGAAGTATGTTTTAATTACAAAATTCCTTCTAATTATCCGTAAATAAGTAATAAGGGCAAATTCTTAAGTAATTAGGTTGACTTGTAAAACTGAACATTCAGTAACGAATGTAGTTCTTCTGGTTATTGAACGTTGCGAGACTATCATGTTGTTGAGATCTTCTTATTCAGAGTTAGAATTTCAAATGAGATTTTATTATTTATTATATTTGAATACGTAGAGTTACGTAAGTGTTATAAATATCACTGTGTGCATGAACACGGCCATGTGCTACCAGTTTATGTGACGTGTACTATAAAGTTAAATCAAAAATACTTATCTGAATTACGAATCGAAGAGGAAAACTATCAACGCGGTGCAAACAGTGATATTCACGTATGTATCTATTAAGTCTTACACTATACTATCACAGTTCTGCGATCTGGCTATTCGATGAAGAATAAATTTACATATAATTAATAATTACCTAGAATATACATATAATTAATAATTAGAGCGCAAACGATCGCTATTACTCACTAATAAGACGAATAAAAATTAATAATTGCAGCAATATAACATAATTACAGTATACATATGCATGATCAATTTTTTTTTTCAAGATGATGAGGCAATATTCAAATGATACGTACAAGTGATGCGACAGTAATCTCTGAAAAGCGGTGTCTTGAAATGTTGATCCAATATGACAATTCTACTCTCGATATTCGGGAATAATTCGCTGTAACCGGCGGTATCTGTACCAAATGCAGTGCAAACTCCTGCGCATAAAATCCCATGTGGGAAATTGCACAATAAATATAACTTGTTCGGGTCCAAATCGGTGGTTTTCACTAGCTTTATGGGGAAGTAGTTGCAGAAATACCGGTGCACCGCACACGTTTTAAACCACTGTTTAAATTGTGCCCTGTGAACGTGAAAATTCAACTGGTGAAGTAAAATCTAATGCATTAGAAGAAGATTAAGCGGTTTATATAAGTTATACTCCTAGATCATTTATTCTGTTAATGCATACACAATATTGTTTCATGAAAATAAAGTCTGGTTCGCGTACGAAGTATTCGACGTTAAATTTACGTAGAAATTTACTGGTGGATTCATGAAATTTACAAGTAAACTGCATGTTATTTTGAATTTAAATACTCGTGCACTGTCATGCAAATATATCTGTAGAATGCAATACGAATTATGAATAAACTATAATCTCGCTTAAACGAATGTCATTTGATATTCTGAGAAACACGTGTATTATAATTGCAACACTTTGAACTGTAAGTGCAACTGATTAACGATTCCCTATTACAAAAAGATAATACTACGAGCAATATATTTCCAGGAATTTATCATTTCCAAAACTTAACACGTTCCAAATCTTTTGGTAATATTTCAAAAAGCGATGGTGACGTTCACTAAGATTTCACGTCAAGGCTACGTTTTGTTGTGGAATTAAGGGAAAGTTAAGTGAAACGTTCAGGTTCGAATGAAAGCGCAACTATGTATAAAATTTGTAAGAAATAATAAAAATCATATCTGACGTGAAAATTATATTTATCTTTCTGACAAGGGACATTCAAATTGTTCCGAATATTCCGTGTTCCTATCGAACGCTTGAATTATTCGTACTAGAATAATGACAGATATATAATTTTTGAATAGCGTATATGATTCTTTTAATTAATTGCAATTACCTTGTACCGGTGACGTTGTGCATGTAATTGTCATAGTACATCCAGATGGCGTAGAGCAACACTAAGTAGCGCGGAATCTTTGTGTAAATGATGAAATATATCGCAAGAATATATTTTGCGAAATATCCTATAACTATCATAAGGAATATAATAGCATAGTACATAGTTACTGTAAGTGTTTCCAGTCTTCGCTGTAACGAAGCGTTCATCGTTTTCTTCCGTGTCTTTCGTTTTCTTACGGTAAGATCAATTCAATGTTTTTTGGTCCACAGTTGGTGAACTGCAAGTGGATCGCGAAATTTTGTACAAATTTCTGTATTGTTTGAAAACGATTGAAATAATGTACCACTTAGGTATATAAATTACTGTAAGAACTCTGGTAAAAATGCAGAGAATATATCATCAACGAATAAATTTTGCAATATTGTATCAATTTGGTTTAATATTTAATTTTTATTACTTTACTATTTTCTTTTTTTTTTATTTTACTATTTTACCATTCACTGTTTTCACGAACTAAAGACTTTCGTTACACTCATCTATTGTTTCTTTCTTTTTTCTTTTGTAGAACGACGAAAATAGATAACTGAGGAATATATACACTGTTCCTTAATACATCTTCCTTCTTAAACCGCGAAATAGCCGTATTCTGTTGACAAGAGTTCTCAGTTTCCAGTTTCAATACAATTTTTATTCAGTGAAAATTCGTTTTTAACTTCAGGACTTCACAGGAGAAACACTCGACACTTTTAAACAAGCACTACAGAAGAAATGAAAGAAAATAGATACTTGTAATCATTATACGTAATGATACTCACCTCAGATGTGAACTATATCCTTGACAGAAATAAATACGCTTCTTCTAGGTGAGAAAAGATTGCAGTAAATGACACTAGTTAACTACTCTCTTAATGTCCATTTTATCAATGTAGAGGGGGAAATATAGAGAGAACCGGGAGTAGAGTTTGACTGACAAACATTAATGGATTCTTCCCCTACGAATATAAATACGTATATAAATTTGCATGTGTTACGGCAAGCTCGGCGTGATGAACGTTAGTTGCTGCCCGCTTCGCTCGTCGCTCTCTCGTCGTGCCTGTTACAGCCTCCGGAGAGATATTTTAATGAATGAAGACGTGATGTAGAATAAATACGTTTATTTTCAACAAATACAATGACTGAATTGAGTGTAAATGAAGGTGAATGTATGACTGACGCGGGGTCAGTCCTCTGACGGACTGCGTGTGTCTCGTCCAATGGTCTATTGGTGACTCGCCGAATCCTCTTTTCGCTGTGTGTTTACGTCGCCCTTTTAATTGGTAGGCGACTTTCTGGAGCCGGCCAAGGCGCCTTGTTTCCTAGACAAGGCTTTGTTTATGCC